AAGACAAGGATAGTCCAGATGAACCTTATTAGCTCCAAAATGGAAGTAGTTCTTGTGGACAACAAAGTGGTTAAGGGTGACCTTTCCGGTACAAGAGTAATATTTTTCATTTATTTATTTGTTCCTTATGGCCATCAATACATCTGTAGCTCAATGTTTTGAAAATTGTAATTATATCGTAAATGAAAGGGCAGCACAGTGCACGAGGCTCCTACTAATGCAGGGTCTGGGGAGGGACAGATTGTCAGATGTACACAGCCTCACCCCGACACATACAGAGAGGCTATTTCCAAGATTTGAACTCTAGTCACCCAGGTCGTAATTGTATCATAAATCATAAGGTTTTTTTTTCAAATTTTAAAAGTTGTTAAAAAAACTATAAACATACCTAAACTAGTCAAAAAATAGAAAAAATGACTTTCCACTAACTTTCTAACCTATAGGCATCATATGCGTTGTAGTAGTGACAATTGCAGTACTTTGATTACATACCATAGTCAACATTTATGATTCAATAGATACCATGGTTTGACTACGTTCAACTCCAATTTATTTCTCTTTTTTCAGCAATAAAAAACAATACCTTTAGTTATCCTTATTTCCAAATTAAAAAAAAAAATCATAATGTTCTCTAAAGTCTAATCTCTATTGCTGAAAGTATTTTTATGTCTCACAAGATTCAAGAATAAAACAATTCAAATTTGATTGTTTGAGTCTTATACAAATCCAAGAATAAGATAATTCAAGTGTTCAACAAATTACACACATCAATTGTCAGTACAATAGTATGATGCTACAAATAAAAGTTATAAAATTAAAGAAATTAAATTCTAATGCCTACAATGAGATGTAATGTTTATGGGTACAATTTAATTCTAGTCTAAAGAAATCAAATTCTAAAGTCTAAAACGACATGAGGTGCTTGATAATCTCATTTCAAGGAGAAAAATATAAAAAAGGGAAAATGAATAGAAGCAATGACGCAAAGCCACTGTTTTCATGTGAAAAGAAACAAAACCAAAGGAAAAAAAAGGATATGGGGCGAAGCCCCTCTTTTATGTCAAAAAAGAGTGAAAAACATAATGAGATGAGACACAACCCTGTTTTTTCAGAAAAAAAGGGAGTGAAAATAATGGAATGGAGCCCCTGTATTATGTAAAAGAAGATGGAAAACAGGGATAAGCCATTGTTTTAACAGTAAAACCAAGGGGAGTGGATGTATTAGGGTGGAGCCCCTTTTATGATGCACTCTTCTGGGGCTTTTCTTTTGACATCATAGGATGGATGTGATTTGGAAATCAGCACTTCATGTTGAGATCCTGATTGATAGATCGGCTATGGACTTGGATCAGAATAAGGACAAGGAAGGTATAAGGGTTGTTAAATCATGTTATCGTGATTCTATCCCTCGGTTGATGGAACCATTAGGTGACATTTAATTGTAGTAAACAAGGCCTGTCCAATCTGCAAGTCAAGTTAACAGTTCTCAAAGCCATTGAATCTATGTTATGGAAGTGTTCTCTAATCTGTGAAATGGATTTCTTAGGGCTGGATCTAGAAACAAATTCAAATTGGTCTACAAAAGAAAACAACCTGATGTAGGTCTTATTTGTGGCCCCACGACTCTAAAGTTTTGGTACAAATCATTTGTAATTCATTAGATTTCAGATTATTCTTTTTTGGTAAGGAAGAATATGAACTATCACTAAGTGAGGATACACTATATAGTGCTTTCCACTAGTCTGCAGTGTGTAAGGGTAGGTCATATGTTTTTGTTTCAAATGTCAATCTTGGAAAGGACCAAAAAAGATCAAAGCAATAATCATAGTTGTCAAGGCAGCTGCCTAGGCGACAAGGCACCCTCGGAGGCTCGCCTTGCCTAATTGCCAAGCAGTTCTGTATGTTGTGGTATAAAATACTTTTATATTCTTAATTTTTGGGGATTATAATTATAAAATAGACATTATTAAACTAAAATATTCATTTTGTATGTTTATATATTATTTTCTTTTTATTTTTTTCTTATTTGTTAGGGTTTAATCAACACATACACTGCTGTATTTTTTTATCAATAACTGCTGCATTGAACCCTCAAAGACTTCAAAACCTGAACCAATAAGTAAGGAAGAACTCAAATTTTTGTCTAATCAACACATCATCTTCTTCAGTTCTTTTCCTATACCAAAAATAGGGGTTTCAGCCCCTATATTTTTTTTAAATTTTCTTTTCTTTCTTCTTTTTCTTCTCATGAATATGTTGATTTTCTATACTTTAACATGAAGCCTTTACTTTTCCTATGAAAAGTGTACAGAAAATTATTAAGGAAATATGGTTATGGAACATAGGAAACTACCCTAGGATAGATGTTTTTTACTTAGAAAAAAATGGGAAACAGGATTCATGTAGCCGACCCCATATAGTTGGAACCAGGCTTAGATGATGATGACGAAGATGTCAATCTTTGAAAGAATTCCAGACTTGTTCAGGTATTGAGGGTAGATAACTTGGGGATTAAAGATGGTATATATATTGAAAAAGCATAGGTTGAAATCGGATGCCACATCTAGTCGGCCTTTCCTAACCTCCATATCATAGAGTGGAGAAGCCGATGTGCAGATAAGCTGATCAATATGTCATGGACTAAGGTTAGAAAATCATGTAGGTATCTCTAACCTAAGCTGCCCAGGAACAACTACAAGAACAAAGAAACTGATATGCAATAAGCTAATGGCAGGCCAGTCAATTTCAACAACAATTCATCGCATAGAGGGGGCACCAAAAATATTATAATATGCTTAAATGTAAATTTATGTGAAGAAAGAGGAAACGCTATTACCTTGGTGACGAATGTGCCTTTCGGAACCAACAATTCTGTCGCGAGCTTGACTGAATCAATGACTAAAGAGGCCTGGCTGGTGGCCTCTTGTGCCCAAGCGCCTCCGACATTAGGCGATCCATCGTGCAACACAACATCAAAAGCTCGACAGCCCTTCTCTGACATTAGCTTCTTGATGGTAGCGCGACACTTAGGCGTGGTGATGTCTTCTTCCACGGAGACTGCGCCTCGTATCGGCCGAATGGGAAAGAGGTCAACGCCGAGGACGAAGCTGCCGACGGGGACGCGCTGTACGGCCACTTGCATCCAACCACCAGGTGCGGCACAGAGGTCGAGAACAGAATGGGCGGAGGCCAAGAAGCTGAACTTCGCCTCCAGCTGGAGAAGTTTGAACGCTGCTCGTGAGCGGTAACCCTGCTCCTTGGCTAAGTGGTAAAACTTGTCAAGCCGATGTTTTCCCTTCACCTTCCCCATCTCTCTCCCTCACGCCTCAGGCTCGTTGCAGGCAGTAGGGATTCTTCTAGCAAGATAGTGTTTTCCCTTCACCTTCGCCGTCTCTCTCTCTCAGGCTTCTCAGACTCGTATCGTCTTCGTCGTCTCTCTCTCAGGCCTCAGGCCCGTATCGTCTTCGCCGTCTCTCTCTCTCAGGCCTCTTAGACTCGTATCGTCTTCGCCGTCTCTCTCTCAGGCCTCAGCCTCGTATCGTCTTCGCCGTCTCTCTCTCGGGCCTCTCAGCCTCGTATCGTCCTCGCCGTCTCTCTCTCAGGCCTCAGACTCGTATCGTTGAAGGCCATAAGGTTTTAAAAGATGCTAGCGGAATCACACGGGAAATCTAAAATACTTACTAATTTTATTTACTATTAATTAATATTAAATTAATAATCAAAATTTGTTATTAATTAACTAAAAGTATTCAAAATTGTTGTTAATATTTAAAAATTCAATAATTGTATTTTTCATTTAATATTGATTTATAAAAAATATTTATTATTAATTTAATATAAATAAATATTTTTTAATAAATTTAGTTTTATTAATAATTTGTAGTAATTTTAATAATAGTTATTATTTTGATTATTTTTAAATAAAATTTTGATTAACTTTAAATAAATAAAAATAATTACAAAATTTAAAAATTTTAGGGCAGATACACCCAATGCAGAAATCTGATTCCCACTTCACAACTATAAACATTCAAAACGTCCAAAAATCACACCATATGCACCCATATTCACCCGTGAATTGGCATCAATTTCGAGCTAGCACTTACCCCAAATGTACTTTGAACCTACAAATTCTAACACTAGGGTTATCGATCATTCTCCCAAAATTTTATTAATTTCATTAATAATTAATAATTATATAAGAACATCAATAGGGTGGGTTTAGGGTGGGGCACCCCATCCTTGTCCCTGCCCCATAGTCAAGACACTCTACTCCATTCATGCCCCGTCCCTAGTGCAAGTAGGTTCAGGGCAAGGCAACCACTCTTCAATGTTGAACGAGTTTAGGGGCAAGGCACCCCACTCCTCATTAAGGATGGGGAATTCTCGAATTTTTCCGCCCCATCCCCGGTATTGGGCAGGTTCAAGTAAAGGTGTAAATCGAATCGTGATGGGCCGGCACGACACGACTCGCATGTGGCCCGCACAAAGAGTGGGTCGTGTCATGCTGGCCCATGGGATAATTTGGGGGGTCGATTCAACACGGCTCACAGCCCGAGCCCACACAGGCCCATACCGTGCCTTGGGCTGTGCTGGTCCATGGGTCGAGCCTTAGGGCAGGCCAGACTGTGGACCAAGCCAAGCTATGAGATGTACATTTTTTAAAATAAAAATTGAAAAAAATGTTTAAATATTTATTTCATATAATTTTTATGTATACGATACTATTACGTACTTATGTTATTATTTATATATAATAAATAATACATATATGGGAAAATGTATGATATGGAAAAAGTAACTTTTCCATATCATATCTAATGAGATGGACCAATCAACTTTCGATTTTTTGTTTTCGTGAATACGAGTTATTGCAAGGAACCGGTTTCAAAAACAACAATTAAAATCACATTTGAAAAAAGAAATTCATTTTAAGAAAGACAATTAACTTACGGAAAAGTACTGACCATCATCTTCCCTGATATCTTCAGCTCACCACCCCTATTGAATCATCGCTGACAACAATGATTTCTCTTCGATGTCACCTCGTCACCCTTGTGCTTCTTCAAGTGATCCTATCCTCTTGCTCTCTCACCCTGTTAAATCTGATGGTAAGCATTGTCTCTCTTAATTTTGCTCTTGCAGATCTTTTACTTTGATGGGTTTGTCCTGTTTGGTTTTATTTCTCTACCAATTTATATATGTTCATCATTCTTTCATTCTTGCGTGATTTGGGTCCTCATTTCAAGTTCCAAGCATATGGGATCTCTTTATCTTCGGTAGCTGCATTGCAAGTCTGAGTTTGCCGATTAATGGGATTTTTCTGATGAATAACATTCGTTTGGTTGGGAGGACAATCCTGATACCTGGTTCTCCTAAAACGTTGCAAATATTCATTTGATTGGGTATCATGTTCTGTAGTGTTACTGATTCATGATTCAAAGAACTGGTTTTGAGATTTTTTTCATTTTTCTTGCTAGGCTCTTGTCTGTCAAATAAGTGCTCTGGGAGGAATACATCTGTATTATTTGCAAGAGCATGATCAATTACTAGATTCTAGTCTAGGTCTAAATTCTTGTATTTTAGATCTAGATGTCGTTGGGAAGGAGATAACAAAAGATGGGAACTAATAATGGGTCCTTCAAGGATCTAAGGCTTCGCATCACCTTATTAGTTGTCTCAACTACGCTAGTTTTGTCATGAAATAGAACAGGAGAAGGTTCTCTCGTGTTGGAAATCTATAACAAATCTTATTCCCATGTAACGGAGTATTCGGTTAACGGATAAGTTAAGTTAAAGACTCTTTTAAATTTTAATTAACATATAAAAAACTAATTACCGGTAACTGTTGTTTACGTGGCACCAGTATAGGTTTTAGATATGATATGGTTTTCATATCATAGTCGGACCCTATATATATATGCTTATTAAATTATTAATAAATATTAAGTTACTATTAGGAAATATAAACTACCTTATTAATTTATTAAATTATTAATAAATTAATATAATATTAGTTTATAAAAGTATATTGAAAATAAGACATTTTGTGTTGCAGATCGGTCTTCGGGCTCGGGCTCGAGCTTCGAGCTTTATATAAGGGCTGGGCTTGGGCTCAAGATCTAGGCCCAATGGTCGGGCCAGGGTTGCACATTTTCAATTGATAAAGAGGCCCGTGTTAATTATAAAACTATGATTTTTAACTAATTAAAATTTTTATTTAATTCTAGTCTAGTATAAAAAATATATAACATTTCTATATATATATATTAATATAAAATTTGTTAGGGGTTATTTAGCTTTGGCCCTATCCGCTAAAGCCATCATTGGACTCCAATAGTTTGATACCTAATTAGACTTCGAATTTGATTATCTTTGATAATGTGTGGGCATGGTGCATATCTCAACTAGACCTAACTCAGAAGAAAATAGTTGCTTGAGCTTGCAAATTTATAGATCCAATAGTTGCTTAAGTTAAAAATGATTTGTTACTTTTTTATTAATTATTAAAATATTGTAATTATTAAATTACTGTATTTATTTAAAATATAGTAATTTCTGGAAATTATCATATTTTCAAAAATTTTGCTAATTTCTTGGCTAAAACTAATTAAATGTAATTTTCTAGTAATTAAATATAACTTTTTTGGTAATTTAATTTAATTTTCTACTATTTATAGCTTAAATTATAATTACTGTTAATTATAGTTTAAAAATAATTAGTGTTAATTATATTACTATTAATAATTAAAATGCACTATTTTTCATTATTATTTTATATTTTTTGCAATAAAATACAATTAATTTATTTTTTTAATTATTTTTACTATTTTAATTAAGCTTTAGGATTTTCAGAATTTTTGGATTTTTAATTAATTTTTGGTGTTTTTTCATTATTATTTAGTAATTTTTCATATGAATATTTTTTCAATTATTTTCAGTATTTTCAAAATTTATTTTTGCATATTAGTCACTACAAAATTAATTTGTATTTATTTTCAATAAAAATAAATTAAATAACTAAATAAATACCATAGTTAATAAAAGAGATAGCTAATTTTCAATAACTTCTAGCTTGGGTATTTTTTAATATTTTTTTGTACTTTTTAATAATAAAATACTATTAATTGTAATTTTTAATTATTTTCAATAAATACCCTCATTAACATAAAATATTGTTAATTTTTAATATTTTTTAATTATTTTTAGTATTTTAATAATGTTTAGGCTTTTCAGAATTTTTTGGATTTTTAATTAATTGTTGGTATTTTTTCATTATTATTCAGTAATTTTTGCATGAGTAATTTTGCAATAAAATGTTGTTAATAAAACGTGCTCTACATTTTAAATTTTCATTAATTTTTATCATTTTTAATGAGTTCATTATGCACAATAAAGGTTTCAACTCATAAAAATTATTAATTAATTAAAAATGCATTAATACAAAGTTATCTACTAATATTATTAAAACTATCAATTAATATTTTATATTTAAATCTTATTTTTAATTAATTATTGGTATTTTTCATTATTATTCAGTAATTTTTGCAATAAAATATCACTAATAAAATGGGTTTTGCATTTTAAGTTTTCATTAATTTTTATCATTTTTAATGAGTTCATATGCACAATAATGGTCTCAACTCATAAGTTATCTAATAATATTATTAAAACTTTAAAACTATCAATTATTATTTTTATATTTAAATTTCTTATTCTTATTTTCGTTTATTAAGTTTGATTTTTAAGTGGATTGGAGCTTTATTAATCTAATCAAGATAAGCAATTATTACTGTTTTATATTTTTAAAACAAAAGAAAATAAGAAAAAATGCAAAAAAATGGAGAAAATAGATAAATAGCTTCTCTCAAAGGAGAGACGTGCTATATATATATATATGGAGCAGAATGGTGAGTATGGATGGCAATTTTACCCACAAAACCGGGTCCCCGATCTGACCCGCCTCGAATGGGCAGATTTTCCCTGGTCACAAATGCACACGGGTTGGGTTCGAGAATTTTCTTTTGCCCCGGACCGGGGACGGGGCGGGGATGGGGTCTGCTTATAAATCCCTAAACCCGCCCCGATCCCGATTGTGAATTACAAACATACCCTTTTATATATATAATGTGTTAAGGTATTAGGTTAGGAGTTAGGACTTGCCACCTGTTTCTCTTAACACTTTAATAGTGATTATTCACTCTTCGTCTTCCTTCAACCTTGGCACATATAGTGAATCAGAGTCACTGAGTCTTCCTTCAACCTTCGCACAACCACCGACCGTTGTAGCACAGAGGAACCGTTGACTGCCGAGCGCCATAGCACAGAGGAACCGTCGACCGCTGCACAGCCGTGGTGATTCACTATCCAGTCTTCGTCTTCAAGACTTCTCACTTTCTTAGTCTAGCAGTCTTCCTTCGATCTTCACAGTGAATCAGTGATTCACTCTTCATTCTTCCTCTCTCGTTTGTAACAGATCTAACAACCTAGTCTGTAACAAATCAATAGCGGCTCTTAGCTTTTTCTTCCTTTCTTGTTTTGGCGATAAACATATAAAAAGCCTACAAGGAAAGTAATACATTATTGCCATTATTGTTTTTATGGTTTTCATAGTAAATCAATGATTCACTCTTCGCTCTTCCTTTCTCCATTCGTCCGCCGACTGTTGGGCGTTGCTGCCGCCGTAGCAATAGACTTCCCAGTCTTCCTTCATTCTTCTATCTTCACAGTGTTTCTCGGTACTCTCATTGTTGATCTTCAAACTTTTGGAATTTGGATACAGTCATCGGGGCAGAGAAATGTCGGGGATTACCTGTCCTCAAGTTCAATGGTTGCAGGGCGAGTACATGTCGGGGATTCCCCATCCCTGATGGGGGTTGAATCTTTACCCCGATACCAGGGATGGTGCGAGGATTTTAGCCACGAGGCGGGGATGGGGAAGGGTGCCCTGCCCCATACCCGCCCCGTTGCCATCCCTAATGCTAATGGTGAGGAATGTTCATAGGTAAATTTCTAGAATACCCTTACTATTTAGTTAATTGACTAATTTTACCCCTTACTTTTTAACTATTGTTTTAAACCATCCTTACTATTTTTGACAATTGACAAATTACTCCCTACTGTTAGGATTCCGTCACAATCCGCTCACATACCATAACTGTTATATTTTGATAAAATGATAGTACTACCCTTTCTCTAAAATTAGAGAAAAATAGCATAGTCGTGTGATTAATGGTCTAAGCAGAGCTACCAAGAAATGTCGATGGTTGACTGCTATTGTTATAACTCGTGTTTTTGTTTTAGCGAGATCGTTCAATTCTTGTTTTTGCAATTCTACGACATTTCCCCTCTCTCCTTTCTGTTCACCGACCATGTCGGTCTACAACAAAGGGTTTTTGAACAGCGAACATCAAACCATCATCACATTTGGAAGCTTCCACAAGTCATTGTTTTCAAACCGTTAATTGACTAATCAACTTTTGATTTTGAACAAGGATGAATTCCATTGTATTGCAGACCGTTGAGTTGGCCCAAAGACTCAAGAACATTGCGGAAGAACTGATGATTGGAAAGATCCAATGTCTGGAGTTTGGCAAGGTTTCCAAACTACTTACTATCGCCTGATCTATTAAGAAAGATCAAAACTTTTGATGAAGACCAAAAGCACTATGAATTGTGCAAATACATCTAGAAACACAACCGATTGACATGCAAACACCAACGTACTTGAAACATAACTGATGAAAAACCGCTTGCCCTGGTCTCTCTCTCAGTTTTCATCTTCCTTCTTTTCCCTTGTAAAATTGCCGCTGCAACAGCAGCGATTCGACTACCGAATCGCCACCACCTCTCTGCCGTCCTCTCTCTCATTCCCATTGTCTTTGCCTAACTATCTATAATTATAGCTATACAACGTAAACAAACATAAGATATTATTCAATTGCGAATTCAGATTCAGATTCAATATTTTTTAATAGTAGAAAGGAGTCTACTACAAATTCCACAAGTTAGGATTTGTAAAAGAAGCCATGACATAAAGACAAGCTTCACAAGAGGACGAGGCCCAACACACACACACACGTACCACATATATTATCTTTTGATACATAACATTATTCTTCAATTTTCCCCTCTCATTTGCAGTTGCAAGGGTCACAACTGTAGTTGGATCCGCACTAGCAACCTTTGCTCTCCGCTCTAGAGTTCATTTCAAATGCTTTCGAGTATGTCTTCTGAGGAGAAATCCCAACAACAATGGTTTCAGTGGTTGTCTTCTCGCTAGAGAAGCTCGTGTCGGGGTGTTTCTTGCGTCCTTCACTACAATTGCAGCCATACCCATAGCCATAGTTTCTCCTGCAGCAAGACGATTCAGATTCAATATTGGGCTGCCCTAATATTCAATTGAATATGAATTCGGTTCAGGAATCTATCACCAAATAAGCTTATCGAAGGTCGTCTTTTTAAAGA